GTCAATCAACTGTCTTTTAATACATGTCTTGTTGAAAAAACAACACCGAGCTATTACATCAGACATATTTGTTCTTCTGTTCAGTTTCATTTGACGATTTAATCATCATGTTCATCTTCGAGGCATTGCTTAATTAACTGAGATTTTTTAGGTTTTTTTTTTAACAAATAATAAAGGTTAGAAGAAAGATCTACCTCAAAAGTGGTTGGCTTTTAGATAGAAACAGAACTGAGACAGAAGTTCGTTCCGCGTAAAGTAAATTTTTGTTCTTCTTTGAATGAAGGAGACTTCCATCTCAAAATCAAACGTGGTATTTCACTGTTATTTTTGGTAGGTTCCCAAGATATCAATGAGTGAGATAAGATTTAGAAAAAAAAGAGAACCGATTGTATCGATTGTTGATTGATTAGCAAAATAGTTCCGTTTGCTTGAAGGCTAACCTTTGTCAAAAAAGAATCATACAACTCAAGTTATTATGAGATGCTCTTTCGATGCTTAGCCGCTTTTCAGTTGTTCGATGCTGCGCGTAGAAGTTGGGTTGTAACCGTTTTTTCAGCAAAAATCTGAGTTAAAAAATCCAATAATTATTCGTAACACTTCGCGTTATCAAAGAACTTGTTTGCCAAGTCACTTGAACGAAATTCCCAACGATCTTTGCTTTCACCTACCGAGAATCACTTGTAAGTTGTTCCAAAAGAAAAATTCCCTTAAAAACTATGACTTAAGTTTTCAGGAAGAAGGAGGTTTGAAAAAAAAAACTACTTCCAATGGAACCTTTTGTTCATTCGGCGGATTGGAAGGCGAGCCTTTATTATGCTTACAGTTGTAACGAAATAAAATGTTGCAAACCTACCCTGGACGTGTAGAGTATAGAGGGCAAAAACGATTACGGCCAAGAGAATTTTCATGTTCTGTGTTGACCTGTAAGAACAAAACTGTAACTTAGAAACATTTTCTTGTGTAAATGAATTATACAGGCATAAAGTTAGTGTTCAATTGAATTGCTAAATTACCTAAGATCATTTCTGGCTGATGAAAACTGAAATGTTAGTACGTCTTCTATTCCTTAAGAATATTTCTTACCTTGATACAAACTTTGACGTTTCGTTGTTGCAAGCTTTGGCTAAGTGGACCCTCTTTCGTTGTGAGTCGTCTTTTATACCCTAATTGACTCTTACGATAAGGAAAAATATCTATTATGTTAACCAAGAACAAATATTTATCAATATTAACGATTGCTTTTTTTGCTTTTTTTTGTGGAGTTTCCACGAGAGATAATGTTTGCTTTAATCGGAAATTAAAATCGCTAGTTATAGTTGAGAAGATCCTTCTTTAAGACATAATTCGCTGAGCTGGTAATAACTGAAAATGATCAGTTGTACCAACAATAACCAAAAAACAATCTTCAACGCGTTTGTACAGTGATGCCTAAAAATCATGCATGTAGACGGAGTTGCGCAAGAATTTCTTGAGCCGGAAAAAAACGCAAAAAGGAGAATTGTGGTTGAATTTTCATCACGTAAATATATTTTACGGACAACAATATTGCTCGTGCAAGAATTGGCACAGGAAGTTCTTGTGCTGCATGAACGTGTTAGCGGCTACAAGATGGAAATTGAAGCTTATCATCGATCACGTATAAGCATTATAACTCGCACGAAACGGCTGTTTGAGAAGACTACCAAGACAATAAATGGAATTTAAAACATCTCTACTGTTTTTGCACTATTGGTTTTTCGTTAGTAAGACACCTACGCTTTCTTCTGCTGTCTCCGCTGAACACATTACTCAGGCTGCTTCTCACAATCAATCGTTAAACTACGATAAAAAGCGAATAATGAAGAAGTAAACAACTTGAAACAAAACTGAGAATGCATGTTTAATCAGTCGATTTAGTACACAATGGGGTTATTTAGTTTTCTTTGTTGTAATTGTTGAGGCGAGGATTCAATTTTTTTTTATTTCTTGCCCACAGTCATGTTTCATCGATACTACTGACAAACAGCTAAACATATTTTGATTGCAGAAACTAAATTCGCTTTTATGAGCAAGAGTACGCTCGACGTAAAATTGATTACAAATTCCGCTTTTATTTTGAGTATTTTCGAATATGAATTAGACAAAAAACAAACATAAACAAAAGAAAACTTACTGTTTAACTAGCAATCTGGTAAGGCTGTTTCATTTTAATTAAAAAAGTTCATTTTCTTTTATGTGTTCCTTAGCGCAATTTAGTTTGTATTTGCTCATTACTGATAACTATCAATTCTGTTGAACTAAAATAGTTTACTCTTCGAAAGTATTACTATCCATTTGTTACCTAGATTTCTATCCCTTGTTTCGTTTATTCGTCTTAGCATGCACGGTGTTTTAAGCTCATGATAATAAAAAATGAAAAAAAAATGAGGTTTCCTTCTGCCCCTGACGAAATAATGCGTCATAAACAATTCCCCGCCTAGTTTTTTTAATTTTCAACACGAAAAGTGACTTTGCTTTTGTGTTGCCATCCTCACCTATCGCCGCTGAGGTTTCCTTCTTTGGCAGAGTTTCTGATTTTCATAAGAAAAAAAGGAGCACGTTCGTAGCCGACTAGAAACTTGGAAACCACTGCATCCTGTGAAGAGTGGAATATTCTTAGAAGTTGAGCATCATCCTTGTCCCACACCTCATGCCTCAATACTAGATTGCGTGAAAAACCTTGCATTTTTTTCTACCATTTACCGGTAGGGCAAAATAAAAAGTTTGATACAGTCACGTCATGCTATTTTCATCTGAAAACTCAGCCTTTTCTGCGAAATTCCGATAGCAAGTCTCCCCCCCCCCCTCCCCTTTCTCGAGCTATGAGCCCCTTGCATGTAGACCTATCTACCTGTGAAGAACATTTTCATCCCGGTTACAAGACTCTCCTTTCATAAGCTCCTCCCGTCCTCTTTTCCGGTTTACATATTCATCCATGCAGCTCTTTTGTAAACGTGTCCTCCACCCACCCACTCCACCCATCCGCACTCTGTTTTCATCCACGACAATATCATTTCGACGATGAAATTCAGCGGCGAAGTTGACTTGACAATCTAATCGGTACCCTAGGTGAGACACAGTATGAACCCCCCCCCCCCCCCCCCC